CTCTAAACAGAGCTGCTGCCTGCTGCACAAGGCTTTATCTGTTGCAGCGTTATTATCTGTTATTTACTATAAAAAGTTTGCTTCTTTTCTTTAATAGCATCACTGTCCAGCTAGCAATTCTGGATAGCAGCAAAGTAAAAGCGTCTCTCTCATTGACACGTTCAAGAGAAGCAGTGTCACAGAAAATACTTGTAAAATATTGATCTTTATAAAACTTGTCAAAGACATTGTCTGTTATTTGTTACTGAGTATTTCCTACGTAAGATCTCATGCAAGCTTTTTCCTTTGTTTTTAAAATTTGATATTAGGACAAACTTTTCTCTCTCCTATAGGAATTGGTTTCCTGTTTTCTTTATGATTTGATTTCAAAAAAGTACAATCTACTGTTTCCTTTTTTGCTGTGGTTACTGGGAAGCTTGCAACTAAAATTGATACCTGGGTTCAACTCCTATAATATTTCTTATGATTAATACATTGGTTTCCTTCTCCTTTCCTTAGTCCTGATTTTTTTATTTCTATTTCTTTCATCTTATTATATATATGCCCTTTGTGGTTGGTACCTTAAATCCTTTTGAGAAAGAGGTGAAATATAGAAAACATAAATATAAATATGAATATAATTTAGTATAGATTTAAAATATATTTAAATGTAATATAGACAAATATAAATACATGAATGATATTATTTATTCTCATAACTGAGATATGAATAAAATGGAGATAGTAAGGTATATCTTAAGTATTGGCATTTCATACAATTTTCTAGGCATGTACAATATTCTAAATTGATATATTCTTTCTTTGGCAAGTGGATATTAAATTGTATAATAAGTTTATATTTTAGGTTTCTGAATACAGTTCTAAACACTGATTTATGCTGTATTTATTTTCTTTCAGAGATGAAGAAAGTCCCTATGCAACTTCCCTCTATCACAGTTAGGTGATTTGGAGGCATAACTCTAACCAAAATTAAGATATGTTTGGACCTTAAAGAATCCAACAACTGAAGATTCAAAAACATCCCTTCTGGATTCCTATAGTGTCCATCTTAAAATCATAACTAGGTAGTTCTACCTGCTGCAATTGCACTGAAGTGATTAGTTCCCTCTGGCTTTCTATAATTTTAAGTCTTTATTATGGCATGATGGCAAGGTTGTATCCTAAAGCTCATCACTTTTGTAGGTGGTGTTAGTTTTTAGACTAGCTTTTATAAATACTAATTGACATAAAGCATCAAAGACTATTTATATATTTAGGCTAAAAATAATGTTTATCTCCTTATGCAATCCTGATCATGTGAAAATATGGTTGCTGTTTAAGTGATGCTGAATTTGCTGTGTGTTTATAACTTAAGTGCTATATATATATTTCGATATGTCTTACGTATTCTCTATTAATATAAAGAACCAAATTTTGTCCGCTATTTTGTAACAATAAACTACAAAGCCTGAATGAGAAAATAAACTATGTTTTTAAACTTGAGTCTTCATTTTTTTAACAAATGAGAAAATAAAATTGACTTTTAAATTATATATTTAAATGGTGACAGCTCCTTCTTCACTTTAATGGTTTTTATTATTATAAATGCAATTTTGAAAAAAGTATTACTAATCTAAAAGCAAATCAATTACAATTACTGGTAATCTTGGCATTTTCATTGACCTAATGTGATTCAGATATGGTGAAAACATGGAATAAATCAAAAGAACAAATAAATAATACCATAATCTGACATTATATTGCAGAATTCTAGTTTAGATTTCATTGCTAAGTTACTTTATGAGTGTTTGGTAGTCCTGTACTTATTTAAATTGACTTTTATTCTCATAATGTAATTGGTCTTTATTATATGTATAGATTACAGTAGTACACTTTAAGCAATATATCATTTATAATTAAATATTGTTTTGGTCTCAATTTCTGTTCAACTATTAGATTCAATAAATCTTTAGGCTTCCACAAAAAATCCCCATATCTACCCCATCCCAGCATAGCAAAAATACTTTCACTTTCTTCTTTTTGTTATTTTTTCTCCTGTCTCTTTCTTTTATCTTCCCTTGTTTTCTTTCCCTCATTGTGCTTCTCCAGCTCATCCATTAAGCAAGAAACAAGTGCCCTTAGGTGTTAATGCATCAGAGCTTGCAGAATTAGAACTGCACATATCCAACCCCTGAGGCTGACCAACTGCTGCATCAATGGGAAACAGTAGCTGTCAGCCCTTGTCTTGCTGATTTTTTTGTTTGTTCCTAACGTACATAATCCCTGTGTCTTGTCTTTTTTTTCTCACATTATAGGATCTTTGAAATAGGGTACCCTCTTGATCATGCTTTGCTGTTTTCTTGTATTCACTACCTGAACTGTGAGGAGTTAGTTGGATGAAGAGGAGACCTAAATGAAAAAAAATAAGAGGAGAAGAAAAGGTTCAAACAAACATCTGTGGTGGCCTAGGAACCATTAAAAATGTAGAGTTATCATACTATTTAACATAAAATGTTCTGAAATTTGAGAGTAATCCAAAAGACGTAACAGCTCAAATTTGAAATTAAGACCACAATCTCAAAAACATTTTTTTTCTGAGTATTTTATTCTTGCCTAAGGTCTCTCTTAGCATTCCCTAGCCAAAACGTTGGTCATCTTCAAGTTATTAGTAACTTGGAATTCTTTGTGGCCACAGTTAAACTATTCTGGACTGAGTACTTTAGTCCCTACCTTGCACATAGAATCGCTGGAGTGGGCTAAGAGACAAGAAACTTAGGTTCTATCCCAACGTTACCATTTCTTGGCTGCATGAGCTGGAGCATATCCTGTGCTTTTGTTCCCTTTGCGAACCAGTTTCCTCTTTCATAAAACCGGACTGATGATCTTCCTTTTGTTTTGGTTATGGATAGGAGCTAATGAATGCCAATGTGCTTTGAGAACCATAATAAACTCCCTAAGTACATTTCTTATTTTTAAAAATACTGCATATTTAGATTCTTTATAGAAAAGTGAATGGATAAAATGCTTTAGCCAGTGCCAGTTTATTGTCTGATGCACACGCAGCCTGTTTGGGTATGGCTGAATCGGAGTCAGTCATGTTATCAAAGATGACTCATGGAAACAGTCTGATTCACTGTGTTTTGGCAAGTGTTATTTGGACAAAGGTGTTTTTAGTTCCCTGTCCCCACTCACAGATGGGTACTGGCTTCTTTAGAACATACTGAGTTTAGTTCGTGTGTGTGTGTGTCAGGCTTTGGCTTTTGTTTGTTTTTGCAACTCTCTGGAGAGGATGGGAGAAGAAAACAGCTTTCCCCCACAGTCCCCACCAAAAGGTGGGGTACCAGGTAGGGGCATTCAGGACAGCAATGCAGGTGTCAAAGACTGTTTGAAACAGTGACAGCTAATGTGTCCAGAGTTGGTTCCTGCCAGTGGGTTTGTGGTCTTGCTGACTTCAAGAATGGAGCCAAGGACCTTTGCAGTGAGTGTTATAGTTCTTAAAGATGGCACTGACCCAAAGAGTGAGCGGTAGCAAGGTTTATTTTGAAGAGCGAAGGGACAAAGCTTCCACAGCGTGAAAGGGGACCAGAACAGGTTGCTGCTGCTGGCTGGGGTGAGCAGCTTTTATTCCCTTATTTGTCCCCTCCCGTGTTCCCTTTTTGCCCTATCAGAGTGCCCCTTTTTCAATCCTCCCTGCGATTGGCTACTTTTAGAATCCTGCTGATTAGTGCATTTTACAGAGTGCTGGTTGGTGCATTTTACAGAGCGCTGATTGGTGTATTTTACAAACCTCTTGCTAGCTACAGAGCACTGATTGGTGTGTTTTACAGAGCAGAGCACCGATTGGTGCATTTTACAATCCTCTTGTAAGACAGGAAAGTTCTCCTAGGCCCCACTCGACCCAGGAAGTCCGGCTGGCTTCACTCTAATACACAAAGCATTATGTTATTTTTACAATTTGAAGTAAATATATAGAAAAATATGTATGTAATTAATTTACACTGAGTAATACATTTTCAAAGCATTCTCTGGTTTGGGAACATTAATTATTAACATTTCAAGAGGACCTTGAGCCACTGTATGTTTCCAGGGCTGTGTTTGTGGTGGGGGCTGAGTTGCAGGGACCTGAAGTTCATTAACCTTTTTCTCCAGGGAAGCTGCTCTACCAGCTTTGGATCACAAGGAAGGAATGATTTTTATCTCGATTTCTACCCTACTGCCTGGCCGTTTGCTCTCTGTTGGGAAACCTTGGCTTGGATCTAATCCAGTTTAGATAACTGAGATGTGGCATACATTTTTACCTTGCTTTATGCAGTGTTTATGACCTCATTTGTCTTCTTAGAGAGTGCATAAATATCTCTATAAGCAAACTCAAGTCTGAAAAGTCACTAATAGGAAGTGTTAAGAGCAGGGCGAAATTGTCAGTAAATCCAGCAAATCCTATACCCATTTACCTGGATCCTTTTTATGTCACTGGGCCTAATAAAAAGCCAGCTAAAAAGAGCAGCCAAAAAAGCAGATAGCTCCTCCAAAGCTACGAGACTTTGAGAAAATGTGAATTTACTTCAACTCCCCAAAGGGAACTGCTAGTGGAAACGACATCCTGTAATAGACATACTCTGCAAGGTGCTTTGGTACCTGGCATACCTTGAAAACAGAACCCACTTAATTCTTCAGGGAGTGCTTGTGTGGATGAGACAGTGAGTTTTAAGGTCAGTCCATTAGAGGCTTTTTCAAAGCAACATATTCTGATTATAAAATATAAGTCTATGAGGAAATAAGGATTCTGTATACAAAATCTCAGCTTACATACAACTTTACTTTCAGGTAGTTTTTACGGGAAGAAAGCTATGTTTTAACCACTTGTAAAAGGTTAACTACTGTAAATTCAGCACTTTCCAATAACCCTTGGGTCAAAAAATTTTAATCACAGAATTAGAAGTGTTTTAAGCTATATTATGTTTTCTGAAACAGTTGAAAGACTCCTGGATCTTTTGCCATTTTTACAGGCTGCTATAAATGCGCTTAATGGCCTCAGCTTCTTCCTTGTCAAGGATGCCTTTCTCCACATAAGCATCAGCTTGTTGGTTGATGAAATCTCTCATCTTCGAAAGGTCATAATCTGGAAAATATTATTACAGCATCATGAACAAAGATCAGGAAAGGCCAATCCCATTACAGTGATTACCATTAACTGAGAAGCATTTTATATGATAACCCAATTACCATTCTCCATTTTTCACATTGGGAGACATTTTAATTCGTGGCATTTGTGCAGTACTTTGTGGTATAAAGTAATGTTTACATGTATTATCTCATCTGCTCTTCATCACAACCCTGTGAGATGTTCAGGTGAGTCATACCATCCCCATTTGACCAAACGGGAAATAGGCTCACGACCAGGGCTTTGCAAACTTTAATGTTTATACCAAACACCTGGGGCTATTGGGAAACAGCAGAGTCATATTCAGTAGGTCTGGGGTGAGGATCCAGGTTATGCATTTTAAACAGCTGTCAGGTGATACCGATGCTGTTGGTCCAGAAACCACACTTGGGGGTTAAGTGCCTTGTTCAAGGTCACATAGGTAGTAAAAGTTATGATCAGAACCAGGTGTTCTGACTTACACTAGGTTTAAGTCCCTGTTGATGTGACAAACCACTTTTTTTTTTTCAAATTAAGAGTTACTTTATTTCATGCTATTTGAATTGTATGCAAGGAGCAAAAAGCCAAACTGTAAACTCTTTTTGGTTCCTCTGTCCTACTTAAACAAACAAACAAATAAAATCTGTATAAATTGTCAAGACACCCACCAAAAATAAAGATTTCCAGGTAAGAAGGCTGCCTATGACACCTTGCTGAAAGTTTTAAAAACCCCCATTTTCTCTTGATCCTTTAAATATTAAGCAATTATAGCTATAAATGACTAGAGAGAACCCTGCTTTCTGTTCATTGGTAAGGAGGAGAGAAAGGGGAGAGTGGGTATAAAAGGGTGGTTTAGCAGCCACCCTTAGCGAGCCTGAATGTAATCTGAGCCTGGGTCACTTGGGTGTCCTTAAGCTCCTATGAGAAAGGAAAACGAACCACGAAGGACCTCTCTACAATCACTAAGTGAGTGAGGCTTAGACAGGGCTTATTTCCTCTCCGGCAAGCAGGACATCTGCTCCCTGTTAGGGGACAGCCATGAGGATTGAAGGAGAAATCCCAGCACTGAGCACTTTACAGCCATCACCTTAATTGCTCCCCACAAAACCCCATGAGGTTGTACCCTATGACATCTTTCTTTCTTTCTCTTTCTCCTTCCTTCCTTCCTTCCTTCCTTCCTTCCTTCCTTCCTTCCTTCCTTCTTTCTTTCTTTCTTTCTTTCTTTTCTTTCTTTTCTTTCTTTCTTTCTTTTCTTTCTATCCATCATCTAACTATCTATCTACTTTTGTGTCCATGGTTCCTGGCTTATAACTCTCATAGCCCTTGTTTCAGCCCTTTGTCATAATGTTGGGGCACTCTGGGCCTGAGAAGAAGGCCTCAGGAAGCAGATTCTTTCTCTGACCTGCCCTCCTTTCACCCGGCCAAGGCAGGACTCTAATCTGATTGTGGGTTATAAGACCCTTGATCCATAGAGGGTCCTGCCCTGTACCCTGGAGGAAGGAATGCTGCACAGAGAGGTCAAGAAGAATCTAAAGAGGCAGGCCTTACTGGGTTTAGACCATGCCCTTTCTGTCCAATCACATTCCTACATGGTTGCCAATCATGCCCATCCAATGAAGTCTCCATGAAAGGTCCAAGAGGACAGGGTTCAGGGGCTTCCAGATAGGTGAACACTTGGAGGCTGACGGGAAGGTGAACAAAAACTCATTCACATGCCGGAAGGTTAGTGCACCCCAGCTCCACAAGGATGGAAGCTCCTGCACTCTGGACTCTTCCAGACCTTGCCCTGTGTATCTCTTCATCTGGTTGTTTATTTGTATCCTTTAAAATATCCTTTTAGTAAGCCAGTAAATGCATTTCCCTGAATTCTAGCAATCTTTTTCTTCTTTTTTTAGACAGGGTCTCACTCTTTTACTCAGGGTGGATGCAGTGGTATGATCGTGGCTCACTGCAGCCTTGGACTTCTGGGCTCAAGTGATCCTCCTGCCTCAGCCTCCTGAGTAGCTTGGGACTACAAGCGTGCACCACCACACCTAGCTAATTCTTTTATTTTTTTTTGAGATGGAGTCTCGCTCTGTCGCCAAGGCTGGAGTGCAGTGGCGCTCTCGGCTCACTGCAAGCTCTGCCTCCCGGGTTCACTCCATTCTCCTGCCTCAGCCCCCCAAGCAGTTGAGACTACATGCACGTGCCACCATGCCCAGCTAATATTTGTATTTTTAGTAGAGATGGAGGTTAACCATATTGGCCAGGATGGTCTCGAACTCCTGGCCTCGTGATCCACCTGCCTCGGCCTCCCAAAGTGCTGAGATTACAGGTGTGAGCCACTGCACCTGGCCCACCTGGTGAATTTTTAAATTTTCTGTGGAGATGGGGTCTCTCTATGTTGACCAGGCTGGTCTCAAACTCCTGGCCTCCAGTGATCCTCCCACCTTGGCCTCCCAAAGTGCTGGGATTACAGGTGTGAGCCACCACACCAGACCCACTCTAGCAAATTAACTGAACCCTAAGAGGAGGCTGTGGAAACCAAAACTTGCAGCCAGTCAGCCAGCTGTTCCAGTGGCCTGGACATGCAACTGGTGGGAAGGAGGGGGCACTCCTTTGGGACTGCGCCCTCACCCTGTGATGTCTGAGGCTGTCTCTAGGTAGATAGTGTTGGAATTGAATTGGCGGACACCCAGCTGGTGTCGGCTGCAGAATTGATTGCTTGCTTGGTGGTGGGGAGAAAACTCCACACATTTGGTCACAGAAGTCTTCTGTGTTGATTGTTGTGTTGAGTGAGAGAATAGGAAAAAGCAAGTTGAGGGTTGTTTTTTTGATATTCATGGGTAAGCATTAGTATCTTCATTTCAGAGATGAAGAAACAGAAAAGAGGGGGTAGGTCACTTGTTCAGGTAGTGGTAGAGTCAGGTTCTGAATGCTGGTCATTGATTGACCATTCCATAGCCTTGCAGTACTGACTATAAAACATCTAACAGGTACAAAGCAAATGTTCAATAAATGCTCCCTTTTGTTTTTGTTTTTCACTTTTCCCATTCTCTCAGGCATGAAGTAGAGAACGAAGCTGAACATACATTTTGTGGGCACTGCACCTAAGGCGATGATTCCTTTATTCCTGACCCCTAAGGCACAAAGGGCACTTCTTGTTCATTACTGGTTCATTAATGTTGGCTCTGCAGAATAGGCTGCAGTGTCAACATCTTTAATGGAATAAAAGGCAGACTCCCAGCTGGGCGCGGTGGCTCATGCTTGTAATCCCAGCACTTTGGGAGGCCGCGGTGGGCAGATCACGAGGTCAGGAGATCGAGACCATCCTGGCTAACACGGTGAAACCCCGTCTCTACTAAAAATACAAAAAATTAGCCGGGCGAGGTGGCGGGCGCCTGTAGTCCCAGCTACTTGGGAGGCTGAGACAGGAGAATGGCGTGAACCCAGGAGGCGGAGCTTGCAGTGAGCCGAGATGGCGCCACTGCACTCCAGCCTGGGTGACAGAGGGAGACTCCGTCTCAAAAAAAAAAAAAAAAAAGGCAGACTCCCAAAGACATATGTGAAGAGGTCCAGTGATTTGAATGGACAAACAGGCAAATATTTTGCTTTCTTTTGAAAAGGAAAAATTGTATGTTTATGGCGTGGCTATTATTATGTGCAGTGGGAAAACCGGCATAGTTTTTTCTATGCAGTGCAGTGGAGAGGCCCTTTGGTCTAATGCCAACTCTGCCCTAGCTGGGTGTTAGGAGACATAAGCAGAGGAAAGGCCCTTTGGTCTAATGCCAACTCTGCCCTAGCTGGGTGTTAGGAGACATAAGCTAGTAGCCATCCTGCTAACCTTAAAGGAAGTTTTAAGGTTGTAAGGCTCAAAGGAGAGAAGGGCTGTGATTCACTTTTTAAAAGCATATTTTTTCAAGGCTACATAAGATTTTCTCATTATCCTCACTATCACATCACATGGATCCTCCCTTTCCTGGGTTTGAGAAGGGGATTCAGGTCACACAGTCCCTTACCAAACAAAGGGTGGCAACGATGGTTAAGAAGGGTCAGAACTAATAGTAATTCTACTTGCTTATACAGCTGCAGCCACTGCATAGCCCTAGGACCTAGATCCCCCCACAGGCTTTGAGAGATGACCCCAAGTCAAGCAGAGCACATATGAGAGCAGTGGAGAAAGAGTTTCTGTCTTGAAGAGAGCATACTGCATATTTCCCGGAGACAAAAGGGAGCATCGAACCCAATGCTATTATTCTGAAGTTTCCTAACAGAGCCTTCCATATGCAAGCACCAGAGTTCCATGCTTCACCAGGTTGGTCATTTCTGGAATGGGAACACTGAATTGCAAGATGTTGTTGATTATGACCAGGAGTCTGATTCGTATGCTAATCAGTAAAAACAGTAACAAATACTCCAAATTGATGTACCATACGATTTACCATGGCTTTGGAATGTATTTTGGTACACAGTGTATTACAATGATTCTAAGATGAACATTTTAATTTTAAAGTCTTTGCAGTCATTGATGGTATGTTGTAATTTAATCGCACATAAAACAATGGTGCATTTTTAATCAATGACAGATTTGATGAAATACAGTTCATGTCAATTTTAGTATAACTGACAGCCTGGAAATTCAAATCATTTTGAACCAAATAAAGTATGCATGAATATCGATAATTATTGCCATCACACTCAACTTAGAAGACCCAAGCTAAGAGGGTGCTGAAAATAGCTCTTTCTCCCTCTGTTCCCAGAATTTCTGATTTAGTGGTGCTGCAGCGCAACCTGGGCAGTGGGATATTTAAGAAGTTCCCCAGGTGATTTGGATGCACTTTAAAGTTTGAGAAGCATTACTTGTTTCTTTGGAAGGCATCACTTTGCAACTGCTCTGGCCAGATACCTGGGAATCATATCAGAATCCTCCTTCTCCATATAGCTCTCGAGTTCCTCCCTTCCTTTTTATTTCCTCTGTTGTCCCCTGGTTTACAGCCCCATATTTCTGCTCCAGATCTCTGTCTTGCCTCCTTATCTCTCTCCTGCCTTCTGGGGTCTTATTTTTTCAATCTGTAGTCACACTGCTGCCAGATGGATTTCTCAGTTCTTAACCAAATTAGGCCCCAATTTAGGCTCTCTTGGCTAAAACAAACCTCCTCTGAAGGGTGCACAAACGTCTTCCTGACATGGCCTCTGCCCACTTCTCAACCCTGTCTGCTACTCTTCTCCACAAACATCCAGTGTTCCTGGGGACACGAATGGCTCCAGTTCCTAGAACAACCCCTCTTCTTGGTCCCTTTATGTCTTGGTACCTAGTGTTCCCTCTGTCTCCATCTCTCCTCACCTGGCAGCTTCATTCTTAACTTTCCAGGAAGGGCTTTCTTGTGGCCCTTCTCTCAACTGTCTCTGTCCTAATACGAAGATCCACCCCATCTTCTCACCTCCTTGGCAGTAACACACCTATCCATGACATCACGGAGCAAGACCAACCATAGCTCTAATGACGCTGTGCACTCCTTGGGTGGGGCATCTCTGGCACTTAGAACGGGGCATGGTTCTGTGTTTGCTTTACATAAGTGAGTGACTGCTTTTGTGACTGCAGGGTGTGTGAAATATGTACTCAGAAAATGCCTTTGTTTAAAATACTCCAAGAAAGGGGGGCTAGATAAAACAAGACTGGCAGCATTTGATAATTATTGAAGAAGGGTGCTGGAGACACAAGGATCCATTATACTATTAGTTCTACGTTCACTTGACATTTTTCATAATAAAATGTAAAACAGAAGAAAATGTCTTTGCTTGAAAGGCTAATTTGAATAATAAGAGAAATGGAGGTTCTGTTCCCCTCTGCATCTGAGAGGTGACTTCAGTCTTTTTTGGGCTCTGCGGGGAGACTTTGGCACAGTCAATTTGATTGTGGGAATTTTTATATAGAAAGACCTCCTGACAAATGGGTGAAGTTTGCGATGTACAACCACACCCGGTCCTACCTTCTTTATTTCCCTTTTTGTCATGTTTCTTCAACCATTCAATATTTTTTCTGATGGCTTCCAAATAGGCTTCTGTTTTTCCTGGAAGAGGTAAGAGAACGAAATCAAACACTCAGAAAATACCACTACAGCTCATTTTAGAGACCACACTTACGTTCAAAACCACAAATATTAGATGTATGCAGCACTTGCAAGGTTGTTTCCCTAACTAGGCAATGTACATATTTGCATGTGCATATGTGTGTTTGTGTGTTGAGGGGTTTAGGTCAAGGAGAGCAGGTGGGGATGAGGTTCCAGGAGGAAGAATCAAGTTGGTAAGTGTCAAGGGGCATGATTCCCACACACAAATAAATCCACCTTGATGTCCTGACAGAGAAGAGTTTTGATTCGGTTTACTAGATAGATGGGCCCCTAGATTAGTTCATTTCTGGTTAGGGATGGTTCTTCCAAACTGAGGAGCATCATCAGGCCAAGGACTTGAATGAGAGTGGCAGATACTTAAAGATTCCATCACTTCAGTTAAAAGTCCAAATGTGTGGTTTTATGTAAGCAGCTCTAAGTCTTCTGCCCAATTCTGGCAGGGGACAGGTAAAAACTTAGACAAAGAGGTGACCAGTGCTTCACTTCAAGGTTTGGATGGCAAACCTTAGAACTGGTTCTAATAAAACTCTTCAGGATGTAAACACTGTTCAAAGGGCCTCAAGTGTGGCACAAGAACACCAGGCATCACTCATGCACCTGCTCTGTGATGCCCTTTACCTGCACTTATGTCTGCAAGTGGATATTACCATTCACTGAGAGGTGAGGAATCTGGGGCTCAGAGAGGCGAAGTGAGTAGGCTAAGGCTACACAGGAAATAACAGCTGGCATTTGGACTCTGATCTGCTTAGTTTCCACTACCTGCATTATCTGCAGGATAAGACCTCACCTTCAGACATGGACAGTAATGTTGCTTTGTTCTGTATCAAAGAAATCAGCCATTCTCTTAAGCGGGTAAGGCCCTAAAGCTTAGGGAGTCAGCACCAAGAAACCAGGTCTCTAGAAAGTACCAGATGGCCTACAAAAAGAGGCTTTCAAAGTCCAGGGCCTCTGCAGGAGCAATAGATGCAGAGCTCAGTGTGGTGACCACCCCATTCTGAGCCGCATCTGAGCCCTGTTACCTCTACTCTACCGCACAGCCCTCTTGGTTGAGCTACCTGTATTGTGTGCTTATCATGTGCTGAGGACTGCTTTATGCTCCAAAATGCACTGTCTCATTTATTCTTCACGACAACTTTTTGAGGCAGTCCTATTATCATCCCCATTTCACAGATGAAGAAATTGAAGCACAGAGACATAAAGTCATAATCACATGGCTAAAAAGTAGCAGAGCCAGGCTTGAACCTGGGTACCTCCAACTACTGTCCATGTACAATAATACTGCCCTAAGAGTTGACCGTGTTCCAGTTGCCCCCACTGTGTTTACCTAAGTGACTTTCTGAGCATCTTTCTTCCTGATCTTGAAGCCTACTCTTGCCTTACCACTGAAGATCTGTGTCATCTGGTTCCCAAAGAAGCACAGAGACTCCTATGCAAAAAGGGGTAAATGGACCAGAAGAGATCCACAATTTTTTGTCCTTAGTTGCTTCAATAGTTGGTGTAGAAACTGCCTTGATTTCAGCAGTCTGGGAGGCTGAGGAGGGAGGATTGCTTGAGGATTGCCAGGATGGTCTCTTCTAAAAATACAAGAAAATTAGCCGGGCGAGGTGGCGGGCGCCTGTAGTCCCAGCTACTCGGGAGGCTGAGGCAGGAGAATGGCGGGAACCCGGGGGGTCGGAGCTTGCAGTGAGCCGAGATCGTGCCACTGCACTCCAGCCTGGGGCACAGAGCAAGACTCCGTCTCAAAAAAAAAAAAAAAAAAAAAGAAGATTGCCCAGTGAGCATGGAATCCAAACTAGGAAACTACGTCTTAAAAAAACATATAAATGGCATAGATTTATCTCTACCCTTTTTTTTTTAGTGACAGTGAATGATTTATTTGAGAGACTTGAAATGGAATGGATTCTAAACTTAAATGACAGCTATATCAGAACATTTAAAACACAAGTGTGATAGGTATACTATATCCATATGTCATTCTTCATAGAATTCTATTAATTAAATATCATTTTCTCAGTTTATTCATGAAGAAACTAAGGCTCAGAGAGGTTAAATGACATGCCCAAGGCGACATAGCTAAGTGAGGGTCTGATATGGTTGGGTTGTGTCCCCACCCAAATCTCATCTTGAATTGTCGTTCCCATAATCCCCATGTGTCATGGGATGGACCCAGTAGGAGGTAATTGAATCATGGGGGCGGTTACCCCCATGCTGCTGTTCTTGTAGTAGTGAGTGAGTTCTCACAAGATCAAATGGTTATGTAAGGGGCTTTTCCCATTTGCTCAGCACTTCTCCTTCCTACCGTCATGTGAAGGAGGATGTGTTTGTTTCCCCTTCCACCATGATTATAAGTTTCCTGAGGCCTCCTCAGGAACTGTGAGTCAATTAAACCTTTTTCCTTTACAAATTACCCAGTCTCAGGTATGTATTTATTAGGAGCACGAGAGGGAACTAATACAGGGTCAGAGCCTGGTTTTGAACCAAAATTAATATGGAGCCTTTAATGACTGGGGCTGGGTCAAATTCACCTTTTAGACTAGAGAAAGTGAGTGCCTGCTATTGTTGTTAAACTGGCTGACAAGGCAGTGGTTCTCAAACTTTGATGCACATTAAAATCACTTAGCGAAAAATTTTAAAGGCCCAGTGTCCAAATTGCTCCTCAGACCAATTAAATCAGAATATCTGGGACTAGGGACCAAACATTTGTACTTTTTAATGATCCTGAGGTGGCTCCAATGTGCAGCAAAGTTTGGGAACCACTGCCACCAGTTTTAAGACCTCCACACGCTTACAAGAGCCTTGGCAACAATGGGAGTCATATCAGGTACTCTTTTGCTCTTGGAGCAAAGCAGCTGGCTCATATTGACTTTTCTCTTTGCAGGAGCTGTAAAGCAAATCTTCTATTTACACAGTAGGCACTGAAAACCTTATGAGAGTCGACTTTGGAAAGCTGGACTATTTTTTTCCTCAATTTATTTCATCTTCCTTTGGAAAAAAAAATAGCTCATGGCTGAGGTAATAGAGCACAAGCCTTAAAACATACGCTGAAGCAGATGGGAAAAGGGCCAGAATCAAGATGCAGCCTTGTTTTTCTGGCTGTTCTGGTTTTTAACACTGTGAGAAAAATATCTTTTCTAAACATGAATTTGTCCTTACTCTGCTATGCTGTCCTGACTGTCTCCCTCTGGGGAAAGTGTATAAATCAATCAGGTTGGCCTATTGCATACTGCATGTACTAAAGACATTAGGTTTTGTAAAAGAGTGTTTATAAAAATTAAAGTTTGATATAATACTTAAAATTATGCCAAGATTACATGACTGCACTTTTGAACTGGATGAAGCAAAGCAACTGATACTGATGCATGGGTGCCGACACAGGCCACAGAGCTGTGAGATTCAAGATTCTGCATAATGATGACATTTTACATGCCCATTAGATGCAGCATGGAAGACTGGAAGAGCACTGGAAGAAGAGTCAGGAAACATGGGTTCAAGGCCAGCTCCACCACTCTGGCCATGAGGTCTTGAGCAAGTCGCTCATATTCTGGGCCTTGTTTTACTGGTTTGTAAATCAAGGGGTGAATGCTAAAAAGGAGACTCATGATTTGTACATATAGAAAGAAATTCCCTTTTGTTGTCCTTGAAAAATCCATATTGATATATGGCTCTCCCAAGCCGACTTGGGACTTCCTCACCCACTTGCGGACTCCCAGGGGAGAATATTGGACTCCTGATTTTTGGACATTTCTAGCAGAATCCCCGGAGACTTGAAGGGAGGTGTGAATTCTCTTATGTTGCTTAAAAAATAAGTGTATCCACATGAATTAGGCAATTTATTATCAATTTATTAAATAGGCTAACTTTTCTGGCTCCTGTAAAAAAGATATGACGATGATAGGACATTTAAGTGAAAGTTACCTTAGAGATCACCTTTTCCAACCTAATTTTATTGTCCAGCCATAAACTTAAATGATAGCACTGGAGTGAGTTTATGGGTGTTATAATGCTTATCTCATCCCTTGGATGATTTAAAAAAAAGACTTTCAGTGACCCACAGAACAGATGTGAATGAGTAAACATCCAACTGGCAAAAAGAGCCACACTTAGATTATGAAATAAAGTTTGAAAGCAGTTTTCTTTGGTCTTCAGAGAGCAATTTACTTGAAAAGTTAAGCAACTTCATAGATTTGGTTGAAGTTAGAATAAATTATAATTTATTAGAATATGCATAAAAATTTAGGAATAATTATTGAATCAGTCAAACAACTAGACCAACATTGAAAAACACTATTCTTAATGTGGGTCCCTGTGGAAACCGTAGTTTAAATAGTTTAAACTATTTTCAAAGGTGAATGTATCATTTTTCATCATTGGTAATGAAGTTGGATGTTTTTTACATTAAGCTGGAAATGAGATGCATAGAAACATGCTTTGTAAACTGAAGCATGATATAAATGTAGAGTATTATTATGACTTACATTCCTCACAGGACCCAGTTCATGCTAGGCATGGTTAATAAACGGTTGCTGTGGTTAGATGAGGCTATCACCTCACACACTGCAAGGCCTAAACAGACTCCCCACAGATACTATTGCCAATGTGTTCTGCTTATAATTATTTCCGTAAGTGGTTTTAGCTGGACCATTACCTCATCCTTTATTCTACTCTGTAACGTCCTCCAACTTTCTGTCCTGAAGGGATCCTGTTCTACATATGTCTGGCTAATCAGTAAGTGGGATATGTGTGCATGTATGTGGCCTGTGTTGCACTTGCCAGCATATGGGTTAAGGACTATCCTTGGGCCATTTCAAAGCTTGCTTGAGTCCTCAAAGGCAGGAATTGGTTCTTATATTCCTTCTGTAGCTGCTTCCTAGGCACAGCGTTAGGCATGCCATTGGAATAAGTGTTTATTTCTTGCTGAATAACTGTCCCAGAAAACCCAGTCAACCCTGCCTCCACTCAGACGGATGATTTTCTTTTTCTACCTAGAGACAATGGGTGTTTTCTCACTGGGTTTCATAACAGAGAAGCAAAATAGCCCTTGAGAAAAATGCAATGAAACAACTACGAACACAAAGATATATGTCGGTATGTCCTTTTGGGGATTAATTACATTTTTTTCTTAGAAATTGTTAGTCCTTAGCTTAAACTTAGTTGGTGTTTTCTAAACTGTATTAGAGTCAGTTGTCCTTATCCCAGAGTAATGGGGTCAAGGGTAACATGAATAAATTACATCTCTGAACAATAGCAGAGGGACTAATTTTAACCCCAAATTCCTGCCTTCTTTTTAATGTTTTAGGAGAGCCATTGCAAAGAATAACCCTAGGCTGGGCGTGGTGGCTCACACCTGCAATCCTAGTACTTTGGTAGGCTGAATGGATTGGATGGATCACCTGATGTCAAGAGTTTGAGACCAGCCTGGCCAACATGGTGAAACCCCATCTCTATTAAAAATAAAAAATTAGCTGGGGGTGGTGGCACATGCCTGTAATCCCAGCTACTTGGGAGGCTGAGGCAGGAGAATCGCTTGAACCTGGACGGTGGCGGTTGCAGTGAGCAGATATCGCACCATTGCACTCCCCCGCCTGGGTGACAGAGCAAGACTCTGTCTTGGGGGAAAGAAAAAAAAAAAGTAAATGGATAGAGTTTTAGTCTATTCTGTTCCTCTCTCCCCATTACTATCTGATGGAAATCCTAATGAAGAGGGAAATCCACTCTCATCATTAGTCTCCAAACACTCACATCCTAAATAGGCCATAGTGGACTACTGAGAATCATCTCCTTTATATTCATTTTTTACATAATGTTTTCTTAAAAAGAAGCTAAACACTTCTGTCAGCTCGCATTCCTACAGCCCTGTGCACAGTGATAGAAGGTGGTGTTTAAAGCACTGAGAATGTTACCCCAGCAAGTCAAAGGACGTAGCCTATGGCTCACTGGGTTCTAGGGAAATACGATTGCTATACGTGGGCCACTTCCAGAGGGGATGATTGAGGCATGCTGGGTTTCTGTTGAGCTGAGCTGTAATGCTCTATGCTGCCCAATTCCTGGTTCTCTGTCTCAGGTCACAGGCCACTCTTTTCTTGGTTAGCTATTTTTAAAAATTTACCATTCATCCTCCACCTCACATCTGTTAGGATAAAAAAAAAAAATCCAGAAATAAAAAATCTAAGCAAGGATATAGAGAAACTGGAACTCTTGCACACTATTGGTAGAAATTTAAAATGGTGCAGCTGCTACAGAAAACAGTATGGTGGTTCCTCAAAAAATTAAAAATAGAATTCCCATATGATCCAGCAATTCCACTTCTGGATATATACCCAAAAGAACTGAACAAAGGAGCTCAAAGAGACATTTGTATACCCATATATATATATATATCCGTATTACTCACAACAGCCAAGAGGTAGAAGCAGCCCAAGTGTCCACAGACAAATAACTAGATGAAATGTGGCATATACATACAGTGAAGTATTTATTCAGCCTTAAAAAAGGAAGAAAATTACAACATGGATGAACATGGAGGACATGATGCTGAGTTACATACGCCAGTTGCAAAAGGAAAAATGCTATATGATTCCACTTATATGAGGTCACTAGAGTAGTCAAATCCATAGAGACAGGAAACAGAATGCTTATTGCCATGGAGTGGGCAGAGCGGGAATGGAAAAGTGTTGTTTAATTGGTACAGAGCTTCGATTTTGCAAGATGAAAAGAGCTCTGGAGATGGATGGTGGTGATGGTATGAAAACAAAGTGAATGTACATAGTGCCTCAAAACTGTACAGTTAAAAATAGTTAAGATGGTAAATTTTATGTTATGTACATTGTACCACAATTTCAAAAAGAGATATATATATATATGTTTTAAAAAGAGTTTACCACCCATCCAGAGTGACTTAGGGTTAAATGGAAGTATCAAAGCAGCCTGATTGGTCTACAGGGTCCCCAAACATGGCACACATATCATCAGTTCTGCCTACTCTTGCTCAGGACAAACATTATTAATTGATCATTACAGCTTTCTTTCTTCCTGAACCCAGATACAATATCATAAACTTTCACAACATGGGCCACTACCAAGCAATTGGAGTGGACACGTCAGCTATGTCAATGTAGGAAAAAAATATAGGAAAATGTACAATGTAGGAAATGTAAAATGTAGGAAAATATAAAATGTAGGAAAAAATTGTGATGGTCTATGAAATCCATGCTAGAGAAAAGGAGGATACAAAAATATAAAAATGTATAAGATAGGAAAAATCAACACAAACTTGATACATTAAGGAAAAATTGTATTTTTCAGCGCTGGCTCAAAAAAGTCTCAATAGCTGAAATAGAAGCAGCATCTTTCGCCACTATTACCACTCATGTGAACCCATATAACCCAGGTTTGGGTGTCCAATTCTACAAGTCTTTTCTACAAAATGGAACCAGAACTCCTTCAAGGAGAATTGATTTCAAGTCTTGGGAAAGGAAAATTCAGAGTGGGTGTAGAATATCCCATTGTTGCTAGAAAGCAAAGACGATGTACTACAAGGACTAAAGAGAAATTTAGGGAGCTCCCACTGCCCAAGCTACACCAATTTAGGCATAAAGTGTTAGCAAAGGTAGTAGTAATATAAAAGGGAAATAGTTTGTAATTTTATTGGTATTATTGAGTTTCAAGGTATTGAATACGTAGCTAGTTTGTTTCTCTTCTACTTCATACGCAGACATTAAGCATGGGTCTATTATTAAGGGTGAATAGGAACCTGCTTCTATTTGTGTTAGCAGGAGATACTGGGTGGGGAAACTTTAAGTGGGCCAGTCTCTTCAAAATTAAGTGCTATACCATGAGCAAGATTGGTCCTTGTGATCTCATATCATATCATAACAAGGAATAAGAAAAAGTCTACCTATTCACTGCCACTGATGGTTATGCATAACCAATGAAAATCCCTTTTCAGAGAGTCCAGTGGTATGTTTTCAGATGATAAATTAGCTGGGTTCCTCCACCACCTCCCCCAAGAGAGCACTGACCCACTGCCTCAGCTCCTAAAGAATAAACTCTGTAGATGAACCTACTAATGAGACATTAATCTCGCTGTGTCACCCAGGCTGAAGTACAGTGGTGCAGCCTCCACCTCCTGAGTTCAAGTGATAAGACATAAATAAGGTTCCAATTATATCAAAGATGTCAATATATCATAATGACAGAAAAATAAGGTAGGTTCGAATCATTTGTTCACAACTTCTGGTAAAGACGTTGAGTTTCAGAAAAATAATATCTATCTGAGACATAGAGATGTAAATTTCCACGATGTAACTAGCACAACTTTGTAACAAGGGGACTTGAACCACTGAACTATACAACTAGATCCCACATTCAGACCTGAAATCAAAGGGATAACAATTTAGAACTTATAACCTCATCGAGTCTTTTTCTTTGTGGGTATGGTAAAGTTTCTAAAATCCTAGGAAGATGGCCGGGCACGGTGGCTCACACCCGTAATCCCAGCACTTTGGGAGGGTGAGGCGGGGGGATCACTTGAGGTCAGGAGTTCAAGACCAATTTGATGAAACCCCATCTCTACTAAAATTACAAAAAATTAGAGGGCATAGTAGTGTGTGCCTGTAATCCCAGCTACTCGGGAGGCTGAGGCAGAAGAATCACTTGAACCCAGGAGATGGAGGTTGCAGTGAGCTGAGATCGCGTCACTGCACTCTAGCCTGGGCAACAGGGGGAGACTTCATCGCAAAAAATAAAATAAAAAATCCTAAGAAGATGTAAATTGCATTATATATTTCATAGATATATTTATACTATTTAAGGAAATTTGATATATTGAATTTGTTATTTTTATCAAGTCCTTAAAAGTGTTTAAAGTTACAATCACTGGTTAAATCATTTTACAATTTTGCTTTGTTAAATTTAATTTTTCTTTTCTTTTTTTTTTTTTTTTGAGACAGGGCCTTGCTGTGTCACCTAGGCTGTAGTATAGAGGTGCAGCCTCCACGTCCTGAACTCAAGAGATCCTCCCACCTCAGCCTCCTGAGCAGCTAAAACTACAGGCATGCACCACCATACCTGGCTAATTTTTGCATTTTTTGTAGAAATGAGGTTTTTCCATGTTGCCCAGCCTGGTCTCAAACCCTCAGCTCAAGCAATCCAAACTGCTGGGATTACAGGCATGAGGCACTGCGCCTGGTCAAATTCATAAATTTTGGTGATCTTTTTGAATAAGTAGCATGTGATTATTTAGAGGAGTATTCAGTAAATTTAAAAATATTGCTCAATAAATTTGTAAGATTATAAATTACACATTAAA